GAGCAATATGGGGCTAAAACAGAGAAGGATATAAGTTATGACACTGGGATATATGAAAGATGAAATAGGCCTACATGTAATTAATGCTATGTTGAACATACCTATGGTATGGAAGGCTGAGTCCGCCAAAATTATGACAGGTCAAATGTCAGTCACGCCAGGTGGATTACTGTTGTTTATATACTTTTTGAACAGGTTCTGTGGACAAACGCTCCCTGACGACCTGTCGTTCACTGAAGACGTCGTTGTGGAATTCACCACGGACAATGTCTACGAATGGACAGGTTTTGCGCTCAATTATGTGGTACTCGAGTCAGAAGCTGATGGTTAGTATATACATTTTCAAAATCATTCCGTCAAAAATAATAATCAATGACGTTGTATTTATTAGAACTAATTTCTAAGTAATTCTTCATGCAAATTATTACTATTATTTTCCCCATATCTACACAGATTGGAATGAATGGTCTGAATGGTCCGAGTGTTCGGCGACTTGCGGTACAGGGAGTATATCACGTACGAGAACTTGTTCCGGTTCATACTGCCTAGGCCTTGGCTTACAGGAGACATCATGTGGTGATTTGTCACCGTGCGAAAACCGTAAGAATATTATCTTTCAATTTGAGCGCCACCCCAAGGCCCTGAACGGATTCTCTTTATCCGTGATCACCCTGCGTTTACATATTCCTTCATGGATTACAAAACACAACGTAGATTATTCGGGCTAAACAATTACGTCCACACTATCAAATTTTATGTGACTGATTACTTTGTGATGTGCCAATATACGGTATATTACATCTGAATATGAGCATACCAAAGTTATTTGTCACATAAAATGTGTAGTTTGGACAAAGCTTTAGAATTCAGTGGACTACGTGACGTCACTTTGTTGTCGCGTATTACCGATAGCTCCCAAATTACCCATCCCCAATAGAAGTTTACTTATAGTTCTGTCACATGCAGCTAAATGCTAATACAACATTATGTTATGCGACTTGTGAAACGTAAATATGTAGGTTAGAAATTTTGTAAACAATTTTTAATATGATCAAAACTAAACTCTTTTTTCTAAGGTTTTCAGTCAGTTACCGTATAGGTCAATTCGTAGTTTGAACTGCGCATGCCCGTATCAAGGTCAATCGACAAAAATAAACGTATACACACAACATTGGTTTATGTCGTCTGACCTTTGATAGGGGCATGCGCAGTTCAAATTACGATTTTACATATTAAGTTAATTATTTTTTATAGGATGTGAACCTGCAATGACTCACACACAAAACTCAAATGGTGGAAGAATTAAGTCGCCAGGTTACCCATTCCAGTACCCGAAGAAATATTTCATCAATAGAAAAGTATATTGTAATATCACGATCGATGTTCCAGCCGATAAGAGCGTCACGTTCTCCTTCAACGATCTTGATTTCACGTGCTGCGATTATGATTGCATCTTTGATAGACTGGTATTCATCTATGATAATGAGAAGACGTAATTTTTTAACTTATAAACTCTACCATTATCCTATAGTATTAGTATTTAAATTGATAGTTATGTTTTCAGTGATTTGTTTTGTCACATGTTAAGGGTCCCTAATGATCAGCTTCTGCTGGATGAATCACCCTCATTAAATATGGCTCAAATAAATAAATAAATAAATAAATCATTAACATTATCATTATTTATTCACATCATTTTCCTCGTTATCATCCTCCTCCTCATTCTCATAAGTATCATTACCACTACTATTGTAATTATCATTATCACTATTATTATTATTATTATTATTATTATTATTATTATTACAGTATTATTATTATTATATCATATTGTTATTAATATTATTATTATTATTATCATATCATATTGTTATTAATATTATTATTATTATCATTATTATTATTATTATTATTATATTATCACTATATTATATCATAACAATGGCATGTATATATTTCAGCAAGGTGTGTCGTAACGATGTGTCAACGACTTTGGAGTACGGTAGTGGGACTGTCACTGTTATATTTAGAACCGTCAATAGAGACTACGGAGGCATATACAGCAGAGGCTTCGATATGCTGTATACTTTTGAGTAAACTATCTATGGTAAGCTACTCTCTGCCAACAAATCAAGAAAAACCTCAAAAACTCAATAAAAATTTTGAATAGCTCATCTACAGGATCAAAATATCTCATTCACTTAAACCAAAAACAGGTTGAATAATAGGCCTATTTCTTGCTGATTTACAAACATTTTACTATAAATTTCAAATATTGATTAACAACCAAATTAAGATACTGATGATGACGATGATGATGGGAATGATTATGTCATCATAATCATTTTTCATAATCATGTTAAGCATAAGTTACCCCTTCTATATTGTGCCGTATTTATTGTTAATGCTTGGCGAATAATATCTCTCGATGGCTGATGAACCAATTAAAATTGAATTGAATTGAATTGAATTTGTTGCTGCTGATGATGATGACGACGACAAGGTGATGAATATGACAACGAGTATGGTGACGATGAAAAATAATAATTGTATTTACTATTTTTCAGATGAACTATGGAAACGACAAAATCGGATGATAATCTGTATAGCCAATGCAACGAGAATTATCACACTTAAGAAATTAACATAATATTAATAGAGTAGATAATTTGAATAGTGAGATAATAAGAATGTTAATTAAACGCCAGCAATGTTATTACACGCCTATTAGCTTATATATATTCCTTGCGATTGCGTCAATGCGAGCTCTATTAAATTTAATCTGAAATTCATTTTTACCCCAAACGCTAGCAATGTTATTACACGCCTACTGGCTTATATATATTCCTTGCGATTGCGTCAATGCGATCTCTATTAAATTTAATCTGAAATCCATGTTTACCCCAAACGCCAGCAATGTTATTACACGCCTATTAGCTTATATATATTCCTTGCGATTGCGTCAATGCGAGCTCTATTAAATTTAATCTGAAATTCATTTTTACCCCAAACGCTAGCAATGTTATTACACGCCTAGTAGCTTATATGTTCCTTGCGATTGCATCAATGCCAGATCTATTAAATTTTATCTGAAATTTTAATGTTTACACCAAACGCCAGCAATGTTATTACAAGGCCCACTAGTATTCCTAATACTCGCGTCAATGCGAGCTCTATCAAATTCAACTGAAAATATCAGTGATTGCCCATATATAGATATGATATTGCATGATCATTCCCGTATACATAAATGTGATATAACAACAACTTGCCCATATAATGGGTCACATAAAATAGGACTTAAATTGCTAAAATAGAACCAAGCGAAGAAGACGACTAGTGCGCTTCCAATACACTACGTTTGAGCATAGAGCAAAGAAACAGATTGAGCTACTTAGAGAACAGTATTTTAATTAAACTCAAGTTACGAGACTCCAAATAGCACATTGTTGTTTAGAGAAGTGTACTGTAGGCCTACATTTGAAATTTACTTTGGGAATTCTAAATACATTGTAATAATTAGGTGATGGTAACTATTAAAGCTACAATAGAGAAATAAAGCAATGCATGAGAAAAGCAATAATGTATTCTGTCATTGATTTCATTTTAAAAAATGTTGTGCGTCGGAGATAAACATCAAGAAAGAGTTGACTTATTTCAGAATAATTCTTTATGCTCTGAAATTGTCAAGCCTTCGTTTGGTTTTTGAACGACGTTCTATATAGTAAACCATCGCATGGACTAGATCGTATATTCAGTAACTTTCTTATGTAAGGGTCTCTTCGTGTCTACAAGCCACCTGGTAAACGGCTACCAGTTACTATTATAGCGAGCCAAATTAAAAATAGCAATAAAAAAATATAACAACGATTAGAATTGAGAGTTTCGATCAGGAGATACAGAATGAAAGTTATGCACAGATATAAAAGATAATAATTACCTTTTACTTTGGTATGTTTTTGTCATTTATATATTTTTTTAATTAATTCCATGATTTATTCAAATAATTTATATTTCATCTGTCGATGTCTTTAAATGATATACTGTTTATGTATACAACATATCTGTATTTATCAAGAAGGTGTGATTTAGTTTGTTTCGCTTTATGAAATGTTATGTTAGTATTGTAAAAGGGCCAAGCCATAATACACATTATTATTTTACATGGGGTCGAAGAACGAACCAACGAACATATCGGCCTAACACACTGCGAAACTGTATTCCTATGCATTGTAGTGTGTTGTATAAACATTTCTACGTATTATACTTTCATGTTTGATAGCATAAAGCAACGACAAAATGTGTATTGTTTCTTCAAAGTGAAAATACTGTGGACAATACAGTTTTTAGAGTAACTACAATCAAAATAAAAAGCCAAAAATTCACTGAAAGTATGTAAATAACAGAATTTAGATTAAATTGAATATTTTGGTTTGCTAAAGCTTTACCAGTTTCACTACGATTTGTCAATGTCTCAAAAACATAATGGCCATAAAGACTACTCTTGAATGCGCAGCGGTAAACTGCCACGTAGTTACCGCGACACACGCTAGCTAATACTTCGGCTTGTGGTAGTTTAACATGTTTACCCACCATGGAAATTATGAAATATTTAAATCGTAATGATTTCTTCGAAAAGTTTTTAACATCATTGTTTTTGTAAGAAAATAAATTATTAATGGTTGAAATAAGCTACTCATTTCATAAAGCGATTACCATCTGTAAATCTGGCCGGTTATTCCATCAAAATGTGAACACTTATAATCATCCGTCAGCTGTATATAGGAATATTAAATTATATTATTATATAACAAGGAGTTTAATATTGAAGTGTGCCTAATTTAGTAATTTTGTATGCAATTTCTTTCAACTTTTCCCGCAATTCGCAATTCGTACTGACATCATCTGGCTCTTAGTTTTGTCTTGGAATGCAGGCTAAAAATAATGCACAGAAGAGGGTATATCTTTTAGATCTCTGGCAGCCTAGTCTCGGGCAATATTAATGTCATATCAAAATAGTGATGTCAGACATAAAAAGAATGATGGGAACTTACATTCTACTGGCGTTCGAACCACCACAACGCCTTTCGGGCAAGTGGTATGACGTTCGCCGTATATGTGAAAGTTCCGAGGTTCGAGTACCGGTGGAGACTGAGTTTTTTTCCTCCTCTGTTACATTTCAATATATTATTCATTGCCATATTCCACTTGTCGATTCAGGGTTTTCCCCTGTGTCTTTAAATCTTATCTCATTATATATATAAATATATACATATATATATATATATATATATATATATAAAGTATATATATAAAGTATCTCATTCGAGATCCAGTCAGGAGTGGCACCAGCGGGGTTCCCCCTCCCCGTGGGGAAGAAAAACCACAATTCGTCGGGAAGAAAAAAAATTATATGTATTTTGTACATATTAGTATACTCTAAAATAGATTAAATAAGCCCTTGAAACCCCTAAGTTGTCAAAGTTTTCCGGGATCACCCCCTGCACCACTTTCGGAACATGTTACGTGTCGTATATATATATATAAATCATTAATACACAGTTTAACTTTAAAAAGTTTAATATGCAAAATATTAAAATATTTAAACTGTAATAAAAAGTAATTCAAAGATGTAAGAGATGTCGTTTAAGAAGATCAAGAAAGTCATTTCTAAGATGTACTGGTTGTAGCTATTGGGACAGTTTGGACAGTCCCACACAATTTTTCTATCGGTTCCACAAAGAATGGGTTGAAATTTGAAAATTTGGTCCAGATTTTTCATATTTTGTGTAAAATAATTTAACTTTTAAGAAAATGGGTCCAGATATCTCATATTTTGCGTATAATTGGTACAATTTTAAGAAAATGTGTCCAGATTATTCATATTTTTGCGCAAAATGGAACAACTTGGAAATGAGTTATTAGTGCGAGAATTTGAGATGATCAGTATGTCTATGATTAATTTAAATGAGTTCAAAATTGTCGATGCGAAAATGTCCATATATAAGCAATTGGAAACAAAAGAAATACATATTGGAACCTATGTTCAAGAATCATTATGTTGAGTTGTGTAAGACGATCGTGATAACTTGGGCTGTCATTGAATCTGTAACAATATTTTACTCATTCCACGTTGCACTTGTTTATGATACATTTCTGGTGAGGGGTCCAAATATCTATACCTTTTTCGATAATACGTCATCTAACTAATGCCAGGCTTTTCTAATAATATTCCTTTCCCCACATACGTTAAAGAATGAAGAGAACCAAAATTCTGCTGGTGCTCGAACCACCACAACGCATTCGTGGTCAAGTGATTATGACGTTGGCCATGTATGTGAAAGGTCCCAAGTTCGAGTGCCAGTGAAGGCTGAGTGTTTTTACTTCTTTGATAAATTCCTCTTCTGTTATATTTCAATTTATATATTCACTGCATGCATTATTCCACTTGCTGTTTTTGGGTTTTCCCATATGCTTTAAATCTCATTTATACAAAAGTATCCAGCAAGTTGAAAATAATGCATCGAATAGGGCGTATCTTATAGATCTCTGGTTTCTTAACTTAACTCAATAACTCAAAATCAAAACTCATTTCATTGGCTTTAAACAGAATATATCACAGCTTTTAAAGCCGCTACGCATTTTTTTTATATTCTAAGCTAATTTGGCTTAGTTAGGTTTTCTAATACTCACTGTTCCAATCAGCTCTGACTCACTTTATGCAGCCCACGGTTGGAGTTGGTTGAAAATAGCACCCCTAGACAAAGACAAAAATTATGTTTTTCAAAGTGTTTAAATTTGGAATTATTCCTGACGTTCAATCTTACATCAAAAAGGAGAGAATGGCAAATACCATGAAAGTCTACACCCATGAAAAGTACGGTAAGCAATGATGTAAAATCACCGTATACATAGGCCTAATTCCCATTAATTGTATTCTCAGACTTATTATATTTATTCTAAATTGTATAAATTTGACATTATGTTGTTCAATTTTTAATTAACTAAGATCAAAAAAGGTTTTTTGTGCATTTTGGGAGGAAATAGATAGGGTACCAGGGCGTGTCAAAATCCACCTCAGCCTCATCATGGGTAGGGGTGAGGTGAAACAAATTAAGGATGGAGCAGCTTTAAATGCCGAAAATAGCACTGCTCAGGACTTAAATATTACATGGTTGAGGCTGGGGTTACAACAAATTTCAAGGGTTTTAACCTGATATAACACTGTTAAAATTTCACACTGTGAAAATTGCTATCTCAGACGGTTTCAAACGGCTTCCGCTTTTTCAAAGGGTCTTACTTGACAGTATTTTAATACAACCAATTTTATTAATTATGAAAAAAAATGCTAGATCTGAATCTTTTAGGAAATTTTATGAAATCCTTGAATTTAATGAGCGTTTCTTTTCGAAAGTGGTGGACTGATTTTGGTGCAAAATGCAGCATGTGCTTAGAAGTGCTTTGGTGCAGCGGGAAAGGTGGTGAGGTTTCATTTCCTCGATGTGAATTTCGCTCATTATCTACATTGCTTCTCCCAAACTATACCGTACCTCCATGCTCCAACCAAGAGTATAAATGGGTATAGAGGGGTTGTCGTCTCCTTCGCTGATTACCAGCAGCAATACTTAAAGCATGTGGAGTCAGTGACCAGGAAAAAGAACTGCGATTTATAACCTCAAGGAAGGGAGGCGTATTATAAATGCCTATACCAGTACCAGTACCGGTATGCAACCCCAGGTCCTAGGAGAATGGGAATGTACCGGTACTGGCACGATTCCGAGATAATCTCGGCCACATCTTGAGGATTGGAATATATTTTTGTTTTTAAAAAAATAGTAAATTTGTAATGGTTTCAGATCATAGCTCATTGAACTGTTTATGTGACTTGTACATATTAGTTAAGTTGATACTTTTAATACAGTAGTCTTATATACACTGATGAGGAACGCAGGCACGTTCAAATATTTGTTTAATCGAAGTTATATGTTTCAGGATTCAACGACCAACATTCCCAGCGAAATACATGTAAATATAGACATTGATACGATAAAAATCATATATATATATATATACACCGTATATAGCCTATATATATATTAACGTGTGTATATATAATATATATAGGCCTATATATGATGTAAAAATGCTGAGAGATGGACAGTACAAAATTAGAAAGACGGTATCACGTAAGCATATATAATTTATAGATTTTCATACATGTTAGTGAACAGAAATCATATTAACACATGGCAGGAAATGACAAAGAAACCTTACGTTCTTAAAAGATTCAGCTTTAATTCATACAATACTAGCAAGTGGAGAACACTCGAAGCTCCAATTTACAGGTACATGCGTTTTAGAACCTTTACTTTTTTTGACTGTGGTGTATTTTGTTTTATGGTGTAGTGGTTGGTGACTGGTATGGTAGTTGTGTGCGATCGAGTACGACTTGTTGTGATTATCATTTTTATTAATATTGGTTAATACATTTAGGCAGTCAAACTGTTATTACATATTCTCACATTATTCCAACAGAAAAAGATTACTGCTCCACTGGAGTCAAAATGTTGGCTAACGGATCCTATGGAAACTTAACAAACTACGCTGCTTATTATTATACTGATTTGGACAAAGTTATTATCACAATCATTATGCCAATCGTGGTCACCATAGGTATCATCGGCAACATAATGACAATTATCGTGATTGCAAGTAAAAAATGCAAGTACACATATGTTAACATATACCTTGCAAACTTGGCAGTAGCTGATACTTTGTACTTACTAGTGGCACCTACTTGGATTTGGAACTCTTATGTTAAAAGTCCGATACATAATTGGTATGATATGGGTGAAGGGAGTGATTGGTTTTGTCCGTTCTATTGTTTTATCAAGGGAGCAGCGATAAAAGTTGCACTCTTCACAATTTTATGGCTGTCCATTGACCGTTATATGGCAGTTTGCAAACCTTTGAAGTTCAGAAAAAGTGGATTTGGAATTTGGACAAAATCTATAAAGATCTGTGGCATCATATGGCTCCTAGGTTTGTCTTGGAATGTGAGTTATCTCGCTTCATTTTCCGCAAAATTCGTTGTTTTTGAAGGTTTAAATTTTACAAGGTGTACACCTCGAAACCAGAATTTAAGCAATATTCTATTGTTCGTAGAAGTAACTATAGTTTTGTTAGCGTTCATGGTCGTGCTATTTCTTTATACAGCTATGTTGATCTCATTACGAAAGGCACGTGTTACTTCAGCTAATTCGACCGGCAAGAAATTCAGATCTAAATCAGAAATGAAAATATTTCTGACATTAGTTGTAACTGTCATTGTTTATGTTGTTTGTGTTTACCCGAAATATCTATACACGGTATTGTTAACATATAGAATTACAATCGACATTTTACCAATGAATATCTTTAATCTTATGTGTATTATAAATTCATCGGTTAATCCTTTGATATACAATGTATTGAATAACACCTTCAGACGAGCTTTTCGTGACGTATACTGCAGATGTAATCAAAAGTAAGCAAACGTGCCAGCATCGGCGGCCGCTGGGGAACAAGAGGAGGCAGAACTCCCCATCGGGGAACCTTGACCACTCGTCGGGGAAAATTTCAATCATTTCGACGAGGGGTACTGCAGGGGAAAACTATTTTACAGAATGATGCCATTTCAGAGCAGGTGCATATTCTTTTTTTCAAATAGCATGGACGTCTAAAAACTTCTCACCTTTAGACTATAACAATAACTGAAGTTGTCTATAAAGTACTACTAGTGTTTTTATTTCATACGTTTACCAGACTAGCACGGCTCCATCTACTATCATATCGTTGTCGAAGAGTCTCAAAACATAATTTTCGTATTCGACTAGTCGTTCTACGTTAAAACACGCCTGAATACACAGTGGTCAAATTCTACACAACGAAAACGACCAGACGAATAGAAAATATAATAGCTGCTGCGTAGTTAATGCGACATACGATAACGTAGTCAAGGTTACTTCGAATCGTGGTTGGGTTTTATCGTAAACAAATATTTTCATGTAGTTTTTTAATTCTGATGGCCTACAATTTGAGTTTATGAGGGCAAATATTATAATTATTATTTTCTGAAAATTAATCTAAATTAAATTGTTTAAACTAGATCACTGTCAACTTCTTATATGAAACAAATTTTTTTTAAATGTATTTTTTCCCTGATTTAACAAGACAGTTTTCTCAGACAAGGTGAACGTGTACTTAAGAAATAATATACACATTGCCATTGCGATCTATTAGATAGAATATAGAAGCCCCCCTCTTTACTTTGCAAAAGTAGCCTCGAAAAGAAACCCATCTCAGAATTACGGAACTTGGAGCAGGGCTTCGCTGCACCTCCTGAATATAGTTATATAGCGTCGAATGATTAAGTTACCTCGTAACTTTTTTTGTGAAGGTCACAGGGGTTTCGAACTGTACGAGAGCAGCTTCTAGAGCTGCGTTACAAATCATTAAAATTAGTAAAAGTAACAATCAAATCTTCACAGATATTCTATTGTAAAATATCGATTTGCTTGACTTTTACTTTTGTTTTTAAATACTAGCTTCTTCAATATCTTTTGCTCTATGATTAATAGTAATAAGAATTTTACCGTGGTCCATACACAATCTCTTTTCAATTTTATCTATGTATTTTTGGTAATCTAGCTACACAGCAAGGCGGAGGACGTATACTGTGAACCCCAAACACAGAAGCTCCGATTCTACCTTATGAGACTTTACTTACCTCATCGAGAAAAGATGAGAGACAAAAGACAAAATTTAAAATTGTTTAAGTTTCAAGCGTTTGCTGCTTAGATAAAATCCAACTGTCATAAGCACTAGTATGTATGTGCTCTTATTGAAATGTTTAAATTCAGCTATCATAAGCGATAACACTGTACATATTTTAAAAACTTGCACTCGCCATTTGCTCGAGTGTAAACTTGCACCTGCTGATACAGTACTTACTCTGTACGTAATTCAGCTTGTATCTCACGGGAGACTGTAGTCGCAATACCAATTATTACAGTATCATAAGCATTTAATTCAACTTAATGCTTTTGCAATTGCAATATAAAATTTCACTCAAAAAAACTACTACACAATGTCTAACTTGTGCTCTCCATGATGAAATTTAATTGAATGGATGATGAATTGTGAAATAAGTTCCTTTTATAGCATAGGTATGATGAAATACTCTATTTAATTATTACATATTACATAGGCCTATGTTGTACAACGAGTATGATGTTTACAATAATTAAAATGAAATAATAATAACGATATGAAAATTTTCTTGTTTATTATCTTATATTTCAATTTTAATGGAATTTTTAAATTTTTTCTTCTGGATTTTAATGTTTTTATTGTCTGTTTTGAAGATGCTTTTCTTTTTTTTTTAATGATGAAAGATAATATAAGTTCATTCGTATTCGTATTCGTACAACTGATTTTTTAAGACACAAAAAGCATATTTGACGAAAAATTCGAAATCCGTTGATGAGATACATATTTTTTAATATTGTATATTGTCAATTGTACAACATATCAAGACATTTTTTCGTTTGCTCCGGAGCCTGGCTTTTAATTATTATTAGTGACTGAATAAAAACATCAATTGATCAGTTGGCTGAGTGGTTCCTGTTTCTTGTGCTAAAGGTCCCCGGTTTAATCCTGGCTAGCTTCGAAATTTTTTTTTTCAAAATTAAAGAAAAGGAATGTTTTATTTATATTTTTAATACTTAATGTCCTTTGATCCTAAATCCCTGAACACCATAAGACTCTGCACTATGCCAATGCATATGTGCAAAGGACAATACTGTGCTGTGTTATATGTGAGAGAAGTAGTCTTTAAATCGATTTTTAGGTTTGTTACCTTGTGTGACATTTGACCCCAAGCGATGAGCACCCTATTTATAGGAGGTGTCACCGGTTATACTGACCCAAGTTTGAGGTAGTTGTTAAATACAACGGGTTCAGCCGAGGGGGCGTGGCTTGTATGGTGACACGTCATATATAATAGAAACGTCAGACATACACCATGTGACCAATTTGACGTTAGCTAGCTGGATGAGGCTTAGTTTATGTATAGGTTTGTGCTGCTGCTGTGTTACGGCCGAGTGACAGACGATCGGGGGCCCACAAGACGCGATTCTATTTCCAGACAATTGGGCCCAGAGTATGGCCGATAGTGTAGGTCTACGCCCCTTTAAGCCTGGGCTAGGTCGGACTCGACCAGGATGCCTCTTAAGTAGTCTGAGCAGAGAACAGTGAAATAATGTAATTTAACTGTTCCCTGGTCTGAGGCTTAACCAAGGCATAGTCCTAGACAGTGCTTACAGCAACCGGCAGCAGTCTGTCTAGCAGTGGCGGTGCCAGCGGGGGCCGGGGGACAATGGGGCTTAAGCCTCCACCCCCACCAGACAAGTCAAGGAGCCTCCAGCCTAGCTCGTCGGGCAGTCCATCCAAAGAAAAAAAATAACTTAAGCCTACATCAAGCCAAAACATGTCTTTCACAGTCGTTTCCGGCCATCCAGTGGTTCCTAATATTTAAAAAAAATTCATCTCCCAAAGCCTCCCCACCCCCTCCTCAGGCATACAAGCTGAAGCCCCTGTCGGACAGCTTAGCTCCCCCCACCTCCCACACACAGAAAATGTATCCTGAGCAGTCACTTTCATAGGACTTATGCAGAATCTTGTAAGGCCCAGGACTGAAGAATCTCCACTAAATACAGTACACCTAAATGTTATTTAATACATAACATTTACACAATACCATGTAATTGCAATATAGACATTGGAAAGTTAATATAGTTAATTTAATTAAATATTTAACATTCTGTTCCCCTTCTTCTTTTGTGTAGAGCCGGCAATTTTGTGAAACACACTAAAAAGTGTTGATCTTAACTTCAGCAGTTACCGGTATGTTGTAACAAAAGTTGTAATTTTAATTTATTAGGCCCATTTTCTCTTCCAGTAAGTTAATTTGTTCATGGGATTAATGTTGGAAAAATCTACAGACTAAGTACGGTATTGTAGTACTAGTAGTATAGGCCATTGAGGTGGGTTTTTTTTCTGTGGCCTAATCCCTACCGCTAAAATAAGATTAATTATGCTTATGTATTATTTCACTCTGTGTAGACCCCATAAATTGATAATATTCTTATCTAGAGATCCTAATTTTGGAAAGAAAATACATTGTGTAAAGGTACATTAAAATAGCCTAATTCAATTCCCTGTAATAGTACACTACTACCCGATGAAGTCTTCTTGGATAAAGGCAGAACCCCTTCCAAAATTAAGGATTGTGAAGCGCCAGTATCGCGTAGTATTCTCACAGGTACTTTACTATCAGAGTCCCCATTTATGGAAACAGAACCATGTGAAATAAATGGTGAATACTCACTCATTTTAGGGCTTAAGAGGGTATTATCCCCATTAATGACATTAATTTTGGCATTTTTCAAAATTGGTTCCCCCAATGGATTACCAATAAAGCCAGTCGGTTTTGACTCAATCTTTTGTATTCGCTTCTTTACGTTTTAGCGAATAACATTCAGACATAATATTATGTCCTACTTTTTTAGAATAGCTGCACCGCAAACTCCAACTAGCCTTTTTATCCTCAGTGGATACAGGTTTTTGGTCCCCTGACCCTTTACCAGTTGGTTTTACTACCAGAAGAAGGTGAAGGCGAAAAGGGTTTACCTTGTGTAAAAGCCCCGGGTTTTTGTGGGTTAAGGCATAGTCATCTGACAAAACGGCCGCATCCTTAAGGGTTTTGGCCTTCTTTTCATCTAAATACGTTTTAATCGCTGGATGCACACACTGTTTAAATTGTTCGACAAGGGTCAATTCCCTAAGTAATTTATAATGTTTGTTAATTTCTTCCGAGGTGCACCAGCGATCGAACAGATTTTCCTGTTCGCGCGCAAATTCCACGTAGGTCTGATTACCACTAATGCGGTAACTGCGGAATTTCTGCCGATAGGCTTCTGGAACAAGCTCATATGCCTTTAAGATTGCTTTTTTAACAATATCATAGTCACTAATTTCGGTGGTATTTAAAGAGGCATAAATATCACGAGCTTTTCCAGTCAATACACTCTGTAGGAGAAGTGTATATTTATCTTTTGGCCATCCTATGGACAGACCAATTTGTTCAAAATGCTGAAAATATTTGTCGACTTCAAATTCTTTAAAGGGTGGAACTAAACGAATATTTTAACTTAAATCAAACTTGGGCTCTGCTTTGTCCCTAGATTTAAGTTCCATTTCCTTAATTTTAAGTTGGAGATCTAACTCCATTTTAAGCTTTTCCTTTTCCAGTTCTAGCCTATTTCTTTCGGCATTTAGCTCTTGCTCTAGCTTATTTTTCTCTGCATTTAGATCCCTGCCTGTAATTGAAGTTTCATCTTCTGTAATTCTAATTCTAAGGATGGTGGAGCGGCTTCTTAAAAAATATCGTCATTCACAAAGGACTCGATGATGAGGTTTCTTAGTTGTGCTTTACGCATTTTTGGGTCCCCAGCTAAGTTGTTGCTTAATTATTTCAAGAAGGTCTAACTTTCTACATTTTTCAAGAACGTCCAGAGAAGGCGATTCAGTAAACTCTGCCAACACAAAAGCCATGATGCTTAAATTTGAAAATTAAAAATATTGAAAATGGAAAGAACATAAAACAAGTGGTTAATTAATGAGCCAATTAAAAAATGTTCTGTTCCCGGACGAGCCCCCACTTTCTGCTACGTTACGGCTCAGAATAGCTAACAGAGAAGAGATCACAACTTTTGTGTATTTATAAAATATACATAATTTATTTATTTACAATGCGATTATAATATGGTAATTAAACAAAGATAGAAATTAAACATATAAATGAGCTTAGAGGATGGTGGTGGTTAGAACCTGAAGCAGCAACTTAAGTACTTTACTTACAGATCAGAGAGGAACTGAAGCCGGACAAAATAACAAAAGGTTGTTTAGAGGAACAATCTAAGTAGGCCTATAGTCAAAAAATGGATGAAAGTATGTACATAACATAATTGTGATTAAATTGAATGTTTTAGTTTGCTGAAGATTTCAGTGTCAGTCTCACTACTGTGTTATTGTTGTCAATTTGTCTCAAAAACATAATGGCTATATTCGACTGGTGGTTCTTTAATACCTGTCTCTTATACACATCTAGATGTGTATAAGAGACAGGAGTAAAACAAATTAAAATAAGGAAACAGTACTTTCCTAGAAAATGTTGAGTAAAACTTAAGGTCATAAGAATACTAACTGCAAAATATTATATAATTATATAAAGAAGTTAATTAAAGATAGACAAGGATGTAACAATTACACATGTTAAGTAACTATTGTTTCATCAGATAGGGATTTTGTAAATATTGAAGTCCGTCGCCACTAGACGAAACGTTCAATAACAGAGAGTGGCATTACGCCTACAGCCTACGGACATATTAATATTACGGGAACTTGTAAAGGGAGGGTTTTAGCTATAATTTAAAAAAAGTATTTATTTAAAATCTTTAAGCATTTTGTAGGTAATAAAGGGAAATAAAAAGAAATGCTCAAGAATCACCATTCTAAATACTATTAAGTCAATACTTTAAATTTAGTAGTCGACTATATAATGATGTGGAACGCAGGCACTTTCTAAATATTTGTTTAATAAAATTTTATATTCCATATCCCAAGAGTCAATTTATTTTGTGTTGCAAACAAATTATCTATGTGGAATATAAGTGACACCACATTTTACATCATATTAACTATCAAGTTTTTTTTTAAACGCTAAGATATACAGTACAAAAATATTTAGGAAAGATGTATCACGGAAGCATTAAATAATTCATAAATTTTCATAATTAATTAGCTATTTCACAGTAATAGCCACATCCCATACAATATTTTCTTTGCAAGGTATAACAAAGATTTTATTGTTTAAGATTCAAATGTTTAGCATGACAAAAATGTCTCAAATTGAATGTAATATTTTTAAATTGTATATCAAGGATCGACTGAGCTAGTTGTCTATAATAATTATATTGGACACTAAAAAGATAAAAAAAACTACAAAAAAATTACTTTTTCTTTATTTAAACAATATGAATTTTGATGTTTTTTTTTATAACAGTTGTAACATTTGTATGTTAAAAAACTTTAGGGAGTTCAAAATAATTCAATATTCCTAAAAAGTACCGGTAATCTTTCTGTTATTTTTGAATGTTTATCCAATTGGTGAATATATTATATAGTAAGAAATTATTTTTTAAAAAAATAATTGGTGATGTAGCAATTTATTTTACCTGCAACTATTATTGACGCAATGTTCAACCGTTACAAGGGATTTGTGGTATATTATAATACAAACATGCATGTATCTTTTGGAAAGACAATTTGATTATATTTTCACAAACCTTTTTCAAACATTGATATCATAGCTTTTGTTACACAGAGTTAGGCCTAAATCTTCTGTATTCTATTTTCCATGAAAATGTCAGTATGTCATGTACATTTACTGTGAAATTGCTCAAATGTTAATAAGCAGAAATCACCTTAACACATGGCAGTAAATGGCAAAGAAACCTTATATTCTTAAAAGCTTCATCTTTCATATATAAGATACTAGCAAGGAGATAACACTTGGAGCTGCATTTTAGGGACTGGTGTGTTTTACAACCTTTACTTTTTTAATTGGTATATTTTATATTTAATGGTGCAGTAGTGGTGAAGGAAGAATAGATGGTGTACGATCGAAGCGCGGCTTTTTGTGATTGTCATTTTAATTATTAGCTTCAACAACGTTGAATATGCATGATATGTTTCCCTGAATTCATCTGGGGTGGTTAATGATTCATGTGCTATCGTTTGTGGAGTGTCCACAGCGGGGCCCCACCTGTTCCTTACTCGAGACAACGTCGTTGTCTTTTACAGTGCACGGTAGTAGAGCCGAGGACCTATTCTGAGGGTAAGTTACCGGAGCCCAGCATACTGCCTAACACAGTGCCTGCGTGCACCCGGGTGTGACAGCGACGTTGCTTTCGACATCGGTGAGGGAGAAGCTCTGTTCTGGATACTATACCGATTGCGCAAATGCTTTTTCGGATCTGTTTTAGTTTAAGTACCGTAGTTTAAGTTAAAATTTATTTACTGCTTTTTTTCTTTTTGTAAAGTGCATTGAGGCTTTTTGCGGAATGCGCTATAGAATTATGGAATTATTATTAACTGGTTTATATTTTTAGAGAGGCACATATTAATACATATTCTCGTGTTTTTTTCAACAGCAAGAACAATACTGCTCCATGAGTCAAAATGTTGGTTAACGCATCCGATGGAAACTTAACAACAGACTACTCTGCTTATTATTATACTGATTTTGACAAAGTTGCTATCCCCATCATTATGCCGATCGTGGTCACTATAGGTATCATCGGCAACGTAATGACAATTATCGTGATAACGAGTACACAAGTTATGCACACAAGTGTTAACGTATACTTTGCAAATTTGGCAATAGCTGATACTTTTTACTTACTAGTGGCACCTCCTTGGATTTGGAACTCTTATATTAAAAGTCCGATACATAATTGGTATGATATGGGTGAAGGAAGTAATTGGTTTTGTCCGTTCTATTGTTTTATAACTGGGGCGGCGACAACAGTCGCACTCTTCACAATCTTATGGCTGTCCATTGAACGTTACATGGCAGTTTGCAAACTTTTTCAGTTCAGAAAAAGTGGATTTGGAATTTGTTCAAGATCTATAAAGATTTGTGTCATCATCTGGCTCTTAAGCTTGTCTTGGATGGCAAGGCATCTTGCCTCAACTTCCGCCAAAATCGATGAAGTTGAAGGACTACATATTACAAAGTGTGAACCTAGTGATTTGAATTTCAAATTAATGTTCGTAGATCTACCTATCATTTTTTTAGCTACCATTGTCATGGTAGTTCTCCATACAGCGATGCTGATCACATTACGAAAGACACGTGTTATTTTAGCTAACTCGGCCGGCACCGCCAAGAAATACAGATTGAAATCGGAAAAGAAAATTTTTCTGACAATAGTTGTAATTGTCACTGTTTATTTTGTTTGTATACTCCCAAAATACATACATGTTTTATTGTTACATTATACAAATACAAGCAACATTTCACCAATGAATATTTTTAAACTTATGTCTATTATAAATTCATCAGTGAATCCTTTGATATATAATGCACTGAATGACACCTTCAGACGAGCATTTCGTGACGTATACTGCAGAAAATGTAACAAATAAATAAGGAATCCTGCTAGCAGCGTCGGCGGCCGGAATACAGAGGAGGCGGAGGAACCCTTTGGGAATCCTTGACCTCTCGTCGGGAGTATAATTATACTTTCATGTTTTACTAGCATAAAACAAAAATGGTACGGTACTGTATCTTCAATCAATGAGAATACTACTGTCGACAAAAGGTTGTTTAGAGGAACAATCTAAGTAGGCCTATAGTCAAAAAATGGATGAAAGTATGTACATAACATAATTGTGATTAAATTGAATGTTTTAGTTTGCTGAAGATTTCAGTGTCAGTCTCACTACTGTGTTATTGTTGTCAATTTGTCTCAAAAACATAATGGCTATATTCGACTGGTGGTTCTTTAATACACGCCAAATGCGCAGTGGTTATAAAGCCTATACTCATTTATTATAATTATTTTCTGAAAATTTATTATTTTGCTAAACAGACCAATCGACCAATTGTTTTGGTCACTTGGATAACTTATTGTAAATAACGCAATTGTACGTTAATTTTTTTTTTCGTTGTAACGAAGTCTATTTTACGAACCAACCGAACTTCTCATAAAACACAAACACAAATATAATTTTCCTGATTTTACCGGACGAAGTAAACGTTTACTTAAACCTTATTACCCAGCATACATCTCGCAACATGCATCGAGGAATTAAATTAAATATTCCATTAGAGAAATCAATGTATTGCCATTGTCGTTACAAAATAGATCAATATCTCATATCAATGAACCATTCCGTCGTGCCAACCATAGGTGTTGACGAATCAGTTCAGGGCCATGCATCACACTTGTCCTCACAAATGCACGCGCTTTAGTAGGCCTTCGCCTAAGATGAGGTACCTTATTGGGCCGTTTTAATGGAGCCGTTAATTTAGAAAAGCAATCGAATCCTTATAGGTTTCAACTACACCTATGCAAACTAATGAAATATTTAAACCGTAATGATTTCCGTTCCAAAAGAAATGTTTTTAACATCATAGTTTTTGTAAGAAGATGAATTATTAATGGTTGGAACAAACTACTCATTCCATAATGACATTGCCATCTGTAAATCTGGCAGGTTACTCCAGGTTGACTCCATCCAATTCCAATTAATTAATCCGTCAGTTTTATATATAGGCATATTATTATATAAACAAAGAGTATAAACGTGTGCCTGATTAATACTTGCGTCTGCAATATTTCGTAACTTTTCCCGCAATTCGTGCAGATCTTATAGAACATTTTGTAAGGGCAATCTTTCTAAAGCTGATCATATTCATACCCGATGTTTTTCGAATAATAGTAAGAAAGTATGTTGGATGCATTGGTATAGAGCTACTATTAATAAAGTGCTTAGAAATAACACTTGTCTACTGTTTATAAATTAATCTGGTGAAGAAGCCCATCTCGAAAAGATTGTAAATAAATGTCAAAGAAACAGAGATTAACAACTTAGAAAAATACCTGCTTTATGGTTTATGTAATGTCAGTTAACACGAGATACAAGATCATTTAATTGTCACTGGTCTCAAATTGCAGGAAAACGATCGCAATGGTGTTGGCGCTTCTGCAATAGTCTGTCTCTTCTGACTTTTAGTTTCTGTGTAGCCTAGGATAGCTTTGTTTTTTTCTTGTTTTTCCTTGTTTTGCGCATAGAGACCATGTACTTCGCGCTATAAGTCTCCAACTATTACCATTACCATTACCACTCTCAGTTCTTACAAGTTTTCTTAATGCTTATACAAAAAGGCCTAATTAATACGAAGGACAAAAAAGACAAAAAATAGATAAATAATACAAGATTAGTAAACTGCAAAAAATATAGTACAAGTTATTGCAAAAGGACAATTATCTGTCAAAGTTAGCATTGTAGATATATACTGAGCTGTGACAATAAATTAATCTATTATAACAACTCCCTGATCTAATCTTTTCTGCCTCAGTAAACCAGCCGTTTGTAGGCTAAAACAAATGTACAAATCATACACAAGGCATGCGTATTGCAATAGGCCTATCGTATTCATTTACCATCAGCCTCTATGCTCCAACGAAATAATCACAACAGCGACGCGGCTATTGAGCACGACGACTGAATTTGCAGGTTTACTTTTTACGCGACTTGCGACCTGTAGGTTACCTGGCGTTATTAATCCTATAGACTGTGCTCCTTGCATGGAATGTAGAGTATTTAGGCCTAGACGGATTACGGTGCGAGAAAGAAAAACATGAATGTGATGATGAGAGCAGTAAAACTTGGTAGAAATCAATACACTACAACAAAGTTGAAAATCAAACCAATTTGGAATTCAACGTAGTGATGCAACCAATTCTATTATCGGCAGAATACAGTAAGTATTAATGCTTCATTCAATTTAAGTCTCAACGATATTTCAAAATTGACTTTGAATCATGATTGAATCCCATCCAGGTAACCGGCGATAGTAAATGCGTCTACGTAGCTTAATTTATTTTTATATTTTGTCTTTAAAAAAGATAACTTAAAATTAAAAAAAAATCGTCAAAAAGACCATGAAAGTATCACCAGCTATACTTTATTTATACCGCGCTCACCTATTGAAAAATACATATTCAATAGTAGTTAAGCATTTTCTAGACTATGTATGTCTATACATGAAGGTATAAAATATACCTCCATTGTCTATATATAGTCATGATGTGGCCTAATCTAGCGATGTTAAATGTAGTCCGATTTATATATTTAGTCTCGAGTTGTGACTAGCTCATACAGTAACTTTCTTTTCCCCTAATGGTCTCTTAATATCTGAGCTACCCGGTAAACCGGTACCAGATACCGGTATCTCTCGTCTGTCCACAACAGGGGCTATACATGGTCATTCATGATGTGATGTCATCATAACCATATTGAGGCATGTCACACAGGCCCGTAGCAAGGTTTTTCCAAGGGAGGGGGGGGGTGAGGTTCTGGGCGTGCGGTCGACAGTCGAAGCCCCATGTCTGTGTCTGGGTGGGTCGTGCAGTGCATTAGTTTGGTTGGAGGACTTATTTGGGAAATTTAATAGGGGGTCGACAGAAAAGATTGGGGTTCTCCCGAACCATAAACCCTCCCCCCCCCCCCCCCCCCCGCCCCGGCCCGC